CGTTGACCCTAAGTTATTCTGATAGCAAATGACCTTAGACAGGATTGTGATATTTATGATTGATTGATCATTGTGTTGAGAATACTAAACATGGTTTATCTACGATATGATGCTGCCTGGTGATTTTTGAGTAAATTAAACCTGTATCATTAAGTGCTATTACCATCGAGTTATTCAGTATATGGCAGATCCCCTGTGAAACAGTGATAGATATATACTGACGACCACTTATTGTTAATTAATGTCTTACCTATTTAGTCATTACTGATGACTGAACTCTATCCAACAAATTATTACGTAATGACCAGTACACGTTGTTCAGTAAAAATTCAGTCTCACATATTGGCAGATACTGTTTACTTAAAATTTGGTTTTGAGGTTTCTTGTGTATTGACTTTAATAGAGTAACATCTAAACATTGCATGGGTGATGTCACAACATATGCCTATATTATATTTTGTCTGACAGAATTCACTAGAACTAAGGATTTGATATTGATTACTATGAAACAACCAATCCGACTAAATAATCCACGTTTACATCTTCAGTTACAAGCCTTCACGTTTTCACTTTTGTGTTCATGTTCCCGTGTAGATTCAACCTGTAGTTATGAGGAGTGAACAAGAAATCAAATTGAACGTTTACTTAACAAGACTTGGTGTAATACTTCTTAGGAATTCGCATCCATGACTTTACTGGAGATTGGACAAAGAATTTTTAAATCTCACGATGACCGATTAATCTAGATGAATGTCTTAATACTTTTGTCATATTGTCATGATTAATGTTTCGTAGTATGTCAGTCATTTGATCTACTCGTTTATCATAGTTCCATCATGATGTTAATATTTCATTGAATTTATTCAAACTCCAACAATAAAAACAACGTTCATGTTTTCTGTGAATATCTGAGTCTGGTGTAAAGTAACTTTGAATAATCTTCAAACTAACAATATGGCTATATTTTGTGGTTTGACAATTTACAATGGTATTTGGTTAGGTTGATTACAATCGGTTAATTGGGTTGATACATTTAATGTAATTGAATGATAAGGTTATAGGATGACTGAATGATTGGCATTTAGCTCACAACAAACAGATATCAAAATTTAGAACAACTAATCAGTAGATTAAGCGTTCGCACGCAAGACTGAAGGCCCTCGGTTCGAATGGCGCGAGCGGGAACGTGGATGCGCACTGCTGAGGAGTCCCAAAATAGAACGAGACGGCCGTCCAGTGCTTCCGGGTCTTCAGTGGTGGCTTAACATCAATCGGTTCATGATCTCAATCAAAAACTTAACAATCTCCACAACCACCATAGTGATAATCAGTAAACATTGAAGATGATTACATATCACATAAAAAATAAATGGCTGTTGGATATCAGTTTAATAGATCATATATATATATATATATATATATATATATATATATATATATATATATATATATATATATATATATATATATATATATATATATATATATATATATATATATATATATAGTGCTTCCAGGTTTTCCATAGTGATCTAGCTTCAAATGACTCATGAATTCAACTATTAAATTACGATAATATCCACAAAATATCACTCTGATTACAATCATCATATGTTCACTAGTGACTGGCTTCATGAGGTATTTCCCGGAGTTCTGGTGAGAACCAGTAGAGTTCGACTGAGTCTGTTGTGTGATAGTAACTCACTGAAGACAATGGCTAACGGTTATGAAATTTCATGGATTGATTGAAATTAAAAATTAGCACCATTGGACTTCGGGTCAGTGGTCTAAAAGTTAAGCGAGACCGGTAAGTCTTGGGCTCGAATCTCGCAGGGGGTGAGATCGTGGATGTGCACTGCTGAGAAGTCCCACAATAAGATGAGACGGCCATCCAGTGGTTTCAGGTTTACCATGATGGTCTAACTTCAATTGACTCATGAATTCGAATATGAAAAAACGTAAAAGCTTTATTTATCGTATAAGTGGCTTCAATCTATTGCATAAAACGCATTAATTGTATGTAAATATAGTTCGTTCGATAATACACATCAATGACTAAACTTTTTTCCTCATTTAAGCTATTCACTTGCACAGATAATGGATGTTACGGACTGATTATTCAACCAGATAAGATGTTTATACAATTTCCAGAACGCCAACTGATTGGTTCAAGCTCAGCATATATTATCCATATATATATTAACCCATAGAACTGGAACATTCATTTTAATGTGGTTGCATGAATAATATGTAAATAATGCTAATAATTATGACGAAAGTAGACTATTTAGTAACCAAATATTTTCTTTAGGTTTCTGGTTATTGTTAAACGCTGGTGAGCGGCCAATGCTCCTTCACGAGGAGTAACAGGCGTAATTAAGTGAATATTGTTAAAGGCAAATATAAGTACAAATCGGGACCTTATTAGTATTAAATTCACTTGGTGTTGTTTAACTTGTATCTTCTTATTGTTATTTAGCACTGCAACTGATCAGTCTCATGTTGGCATATGCGGATGCCTCGATATAGCCTTAAGTCACAAGCTTTTTAAGCAAAGAGTTCAGGACGTGCGTTTCACCCTATTCGGGACTCGTCAGCTAGATGTACCTACTTCTCAGATTTGATCTTCACTCTGGAACTCAAACACAGTACCGTTCGCTTCCACTTAACTACTGAGTCCTGAATGACACATAAGCATGGGAAAGATGAATTGAAGTAATAATTTTAAAAAAAAAATCAGTTTGCGGTGGTTAACAGTTCTTTTTTATTACTTTCTACTTCATTCATTTTAAATAACAACTTATTATAAATTATAGTCAATTTATTAAGGATTGGTTGAAGTTAGGTATTAACATCATTGGATGCTGGCTCAATGGTCTAGTGGTTAAGTTCTCGAGCGCCAGATTGATAGATCCTGAGCTCGAATCTCACGAGGTGGGGTCATATATGTGTACTGCTGAGGTGTACCACAATAAGACGATACGACCGTTCAGTGCTTCCAGATTTTCCATGGTGGTCTAGCTTCAATTAACTTATGAATGCAACTATAAAACTTATAAGAATAGTTTAGTACAGAAATTCATTTGGTGAAAATAGATAAATAACTTTCTCCCGTTTTGTAATACTCTCTAATCGGATATAACTACATTATATCATTGATATTGCTTTGTAATTCTCTTAAATTCCACATCGTTTACATTTAAAAACAAACAAACAAACAAACAAACTATGAACGATTTATATCAGTCGGATAGATTGATGATATCAGTAAAAACAATATTTTAATCCATCTCTTATCTTCATTGTGGAAAAATAACTTTTATCTAACTAATCAATAGATTGTACCAGTTTTTTTTGTGTTAGTTGTATAAACAGATTGGACAATTTATTAATTTGTAAAATAAATGTAAGTTTTGGAGAGAAAAAACCAAACAAAAAAAAGAGAAAGGGATCAAACAATGAAGACTGTTGAAGAGTTAAATAAAAAGTACTTCTAATTTTAATAAGTAGTATTTATTGCTTCTAGGTAGATTAACTAAAATTTGTATATTTGAACAATTATGTTTTGATAAAAGAAGGGAGTATTGTGGATAGTATCGTAATTTCAATGATTGAGATCATAATTCAATTGAAGTTAGACCATTATGTAAAACCTGGAGGCATTGGATGGCCGTTTCAGTGCTTTCAAGCAAATCGTACAGGCGATCGGCTATCAGGACTCAATAGTTAAGTGGATAATGCGATAGCGTTTGAAGCGAGCAGTATTAGGTTCGAGTCTCGGAGTGAATATCAACTCTGGGATGCAGTTGCATCCAGAAGACGAGTCCCGAATAGGACGAAACGCGCGTCAGTGGGAATATTCAGGTGAATAATACCAAGTGTACAGAAATTCACAATATTTAGCTTCATAAAAGCAGCTAAAATTAACCAATCTCTAAAGGTTCAGAAAGCGTGAGATTATACTTTTTGAAGTTTGTTTCAAATGAATAAAATAAAAATTTTCTTTCCGAATGTCTAACTATTATTTTGACAAATAAATTCATAAATCCAGATAGTTTGAATTGTGTTGTATATAAATAATAACATTTCAAATTCATTATGACGTTTTAGTTTCATCAGTTATCATCTGATAAATTTCATGAACATAAAAATATCAAACTATTTTTTACGTTAATTTCAATAGTTAAGATCATCAGTCCATTGAAGCTAGACCATCATGGAAAACATCTGTAAGCAGTAGATGGCCGTTTCGTCCGAGTATGGGACTCCTCAGCAGTGCGCATTCACGATGCCATCCTCCTTATGTGCTTCGAACCGAGAATTTATCATTCTCGCGCACGAGCACTTAACCAATAAATTTGCTTCAAATAAAACGTTTGTCAATTCAAATCTATCAACATTCGAACTATAAATACGAAAAGAGAAAAGAATTCATCGTACATTTCTTAACTGATTACATTGAGTAATGTCAACTGACATTAGAATAAATTCCACAAAAAATTTTTTTTACAAAACAACCAATCAAAATTAAGCTTTAATTTGATTGGTTAATTTTAAAATTGGGCAAAATCTTTTATAATTTTCAATATTATTATTTTCTTTTTACAAATGATGCAACATTTCAAGTCTTACATAACATGAAATAATGTAATCTAGTGATTGGAATTAATTTTAATTAAATTAAATTAATTAATTATTCAATAGAAAACAAATTACATTACAGGTATATAGATGTATATATACCCATATATGAATGTTATGTATCCTTTATTGAATTGTATAGAAAAATATTTAAAAAAATGTTTTATTCAATCAATATAATAATAATCATACATTTTGATTAAAAATCAATTTTGCTAATCATTAAAATTATGTCAATTCATGGAAACTACAATATAAAATCAATATTATTGATTATATTTGATCATATTATTATAAAATTGGATTATTATTATTATTATTATATAATTATTATATTATCATGGTTATTATCATTGACAATGAGTAAAGAAGAATTAATTTATAATGAATTCAATAAATATTCTATATATAATACAAAAAATTATATAAGAGGACCAGAGAATCAAACTGTATTATATAATACAAATACTATTATGCATTGTAGAATATACCATCATCATCATCATTATTATAATCAAACAAAATTAAAATTATTTTATAAAGAATCTATAAATGTTCAATGGATTATTGATGGATTTGGTGTAAATAATGAAAGTTTAAAAGCTGTACATGGTGATCGTTATTCAATGCCTGGACCAATTGAAGAAGGTAATCATTAACTATTGTGATTTGATTGAAATATTGTTCATTGTTTATGATTAGGTAATGATTGTTATTTAACATGGATAGAAGACTATAGAAGTGAATTGATTCATTAAGCAATTGATAATTAGGTAAATATTTATATTTATTACACTAAATTATGGATTAATGTAAATAATTTTATTAATCACTAAGTTTCAATGAACTGATTCAATAGTTAATTAATAAACAAAAATGTTTATCCAATTTTATAAGTCAGTAAATAAACTATTAAAATAACTATAATCTCCACAAAACCCCTTCTGATATTAATCAACATATGCTCATTAGTGACTGGCTTCAACAGGTATATCCTGGAGTTCTAGTGAGAAGTAGTGACCAGTAGAGTTCAACCAGTTCTGTTGTGAAATAGTAACTCACTGAAGACAATGGTGTACGATGGCGCAACTTCATTGATTGGTTGAAGTTAGACATTAACACCATTGGATGCCGGCTAAGTGGTTTGGTGGTTAAGCGTTCGCGAGCGAGACTGATAGGTCCTGGGTTCGAACCTCGAGGGGTGGGATCGTTGATGCGCACTGCTGAGCAGACCCATACTAAGACGAAACAGCCTTCCAGTGTTTCCCTGTTTTCCAAGGTGGTCTAGCTTCAATTAACTGATGACCATAACTATTAAATTATTAAAATCTCCACAAAACCCATTCTGATACTAAAATAATGTAATTTACAGGACACAATTGAATGAATGAAAAATATTCTTTCCAATGTATTTCTCATCAGGTACTCTACAATTATAAATCCAAATGAATAATTCATAAAATTGGCCAGATTTAAGTCAGAGTACATCATTTGTAAATTGTAATTGGTGTATTAAGGATTGTTGTTTGTTATGTAAAACCGAATCAAATCGTTTATCTTAGGGCTGACTAATATGAAGTTGCTGACTTGAATTAGTCTACAAATGAAATGAATAAATATGATCAACATGGGCTGAAAGAGAGAATAATGGAATAAAAATCAGGAATTACGTAATATACAGAATAATATGAATTAGGTCAGATATAGTAGATTTAGGAGGTGGATGCTGAATGAATTCCTCACAAAGCTTGTCTAGTGTAATAATAATAACAATGATAAAGATAATAATAATGATGGTAAGATGTGTGGATAATTTTAAAATATAAAAATGAACAATCATCTAATTACATCACCATATTATAAAACTGATTATTAACTAGTTGGTCCCGAAGTTGACGAGGGTAAAAGGAACAACTGAACATATTTCTTTGGATACAAATCTCTGGCTTTTTAATCCAAATAGCGATTGCTTTAGCCGTCTGTAAGATTCTCAGTTTGAAGGAATTAGGTAGTCTATTGTTAACATGATAAATTATTGTGAAAGATTGCTCCATGTTGGCTGTATATCTCGTCTGTTTTATATTTAATCTTTTCCTAACATTAAATTATAAGAAGTTATCAGCTTCTTATTTCAATAATAAAGGTCACCTATAAACTAATATAAGTATTATTAAATACTGTTAATAAGTTGAAGATATATTACTAATTAAGTGATACTTACCGTTTTGGTGACATTATAGTAGGTATAGAAACATTAAAACTATTGAACTTACCAAGAGAAAGCAAATCGTTTTTTCTAATACAACTTTTTAAAAAAACAGGTCCTGAGTTCGAATCCCGATAGGCGGGGTAGTGGATATGCACTGCTGAGCAGTCTCACAATAGGACGAAATGGCCGTCCAGTGCTTACAGGTTTTCCATGGTGGTCTAACTTCAATTGACTCATGATCTAAATCATTAAAATCAAGAATTAAGCCTGAACACTGTTATACGAAAGAAAATTATTAACTTATGATACTTATTTATTATCTATAAAATAATGAAATAACCTTAACACATTTAATCGTTTTAAAGTTAATGACCTACTTAATCTGTTAATAAATAATCTTATGAACAACATAATCTTGGGAACTTATTCCTTTTTTATTTTGAGCTTTCTTTGTTTTATCTTTTTTCTCTGAATAAACGCTTGATTGTAAATATCTGTAGGGCATATGCTGAATAAATCCATATGATACTGTTATGTTACTAGTGATGTTGATACGTTATTGACAGTTATAAATGATCATGCCCTGTTACGGTAGAGAATGAGGAGAGTTAGCTTTCCCTTCCGAAATGCTCTTACATGGTCACATGCATACAACCCCTGCCAGGGTAGTACTACTCACTATCTTCTCGTGGGGGGGTGGGGGTTGTCCACGAAATTGAGAAGACGAGAAGTGTATGTCTGGTGTTTTAATCGGGTTGATAGATACGGAGAGTCCATCTAGGGGACTTGGAAAACCCTTACTCCAAACCAATGGTATACATGGGCTTCAGTATCCTGAAGTATCAAATGGTGTACGAACCAATTATTAGTCACCGGCTACCATGAGATCGCATCTCTTGACGTAGTTCTACTGCCTTGTGGATCAGGCCTTTAAATCGAAGGCTCTGGCTGTGGCATTCTAAGAAAACCGCCTGCTCCAATTTGGGCACCCGGGCAGTATTCCGTCCCCCACACAAAACCAGTGATCCATGTGGCGCATATCTATTTGGTGCCTCCTTGTACCAATGTTTAAGTGTTTAAATAATACAAAATAATAAAAATCCGAACAGAATGTACATATGCAAACATGATACTGATCAATCGCAGTCCTAAACAACAATAAGAAGATATAAGTAAAACAACAACATGTGAATTTATTTCATCTTTAGCTGAAAATCTAAACACACACTCATAGGCTTATTAACGAATAATGTTATGATGTAATTCATTGTGTTTTCATGTACTACTATGACTAGTAGAGACAAATCACATCAAGTGTGAGAGATTTACTAACCAATGCCATTATAATGCAGCGGATCGATGAATCATTGGATACCAACTCAATGGTTTGAATGTTAAATAATGATTTTGAGACTTGAAGTCCCATATTCTAGTTTGAGGATGTGAGTATGCAATCTTAAAGGGTCCTATACAACAAAAAATATCTATTCTATGCTTTGTAATTTTTTAACATTTATCTAACTAAGGTTAGGTATTAATTTAAACTGTGAACAAATTCTTTTCATCCAGTAAACCTATAACATGCTTTTCTCTAAACTGACTTGTTATTATTTAAGTGATTGCTTGATTAAACATTAAACGAAGTAAACAAAATTTTAAGATTTCATATCTGTTTAATTACTGACCTGTAATAATTTTCACCAGTGATTAGATATGTATGTAAGTTAAATTCTATTATAAGCAAAGATAGATAATGGCTAGTAGTGGAATTCAAGACACACGTTTTGTCCTTTGCGGGACTCATCAGTTGATTGTACCTGCATCCCAGAACTGGATCGCGTTATCCACTTAGCTATATATATATGATTATTATAATTATTATTATTATAATAAGCCTTGGATACTTAATATAGCGGTTACATAAAACTGTAATTCCCTAATCATTAATAAATTCATATACAATTGATCATATGAGTCTATTACCTGTCAATCAACTATTTACTATAAATGACATTGACATATAATGAATTCGAGTATGCAACAAACATTCTTAATCAGTATCAAATGTATATTACATTGCAGTATAATTAAATGGCTTTATGTAGACTAAATTGATTGTATATTAACAATTATATTTGTCTATTTTTCTTATTTCAATGGTTAATAATATCCACAAAACTCATCTGATATTAATCAACACATGCTCATTAGTGACTGACTTCAACAGGTATATCCTGGAGTTCTAGTGAGAAGTAGATACCAGTGGAGTTCAACCATGTCTGTTGTGAAATAGTTACTCACTGAAGACGATGGTGGATGTGTCGCTCAATTTCGTGGATTAGTTGAAGTTAAACATTAACACCATTGGATGCCGGCTCAGTGGTTTGGTGCGAGCGCGAGATTGATAGGTCCTGGGTTCGAATCTCTCAGGGGGCCAGGTCGCGTTGCTCACTGATGAGGAGTCCCACAATAGAACGAAACGACCTTCCAGTGTTTCTATGTTTACTATGGTGGTCTATCTTCAACTGACTGATATTCTTAACCATTGAAATTACTATGATATCCACAAAACTCATCTGATATTGTTTTAATTGTTTGTTTGAGATTGCAATTGATCAGTCTCTTATTAGCATACGTACATTCTGTGAGGATTGCTTTGATATTGCCTTAATTCACAAGTATCATAAGTAAAAATGGATAGTGGCTAATAGTGAAATCGCGAATGAACGTTTCGTTCTATTTGAAACTTGTCCTCAGCTGAATGTACACTCGTTGTAGATTTGATGTTCACTCCATTATACAATTTAGTAGCTATCAGAACTCGGTAACTAAGTGCATAATGTAATCGCGTTTAAGATAAATGGTACTGATTTCCAGTTTTGAAGGGAATATCAACTTTAAGATGCAAGTACATCCAACTGATGAGTCTCGAATGGAATGAAACGTGCGTTTTGAATTCCATCTTTTCTTATAGTAATATTTTTAGTTAAACTTTATTATTCGTAGAATATTGTAATTATCAAATCTTTCCTTTCACTATTTGACTTAATGTTATTTCAACTTTCGTATTATCGATGTTATAGAATTGTGATTGATCAGTCTTTGTTTTCATACACAGTATTCTCAAAGCGTCTAAGTAAACATTGTGGGTATCAGCAATAAGTATATTAGCCAGTGTGTCTAGCTGATGAGTTTCAAACAGAATGGAGAACTATATGACTTCACCATAATCAATCAACTATACATACATATTCGTTAAACGTTAATATTGACATTTATTATTATTATTACCACCACCACCACCACCACAAGAAAACTATTTGGACCGACCAATATACAAACTTTCTTAGTTTTGTTCCTTCGAAATACAAGAGGAACCTTATTAAGACACTGCATCATGGAATCAAGACCATATGTTCTCTAGATACAGTTGAAGATG